TGGTGGCACTTCTTCACGAATTCCCACAGCAACGGCAGTGGTTCCGCGACGACTATCGTATCCTTTACTAGGGAACAAAATCCTTCTCATTCCCTGCGTGCGACCATGTGCGGCAGCGCGCCGCGGTTTTCGGAGAGAAGTGCCCACACCCATAGGGAAGTAAATCGGGGCCAAGGTTTAGGGTGTGGTGTAGTAGGAACGAAACTGTGGCGTCGCGGTGAAATAGGCGCTGCGCGCGAAGGAATGTAGCAGAGTGCAGCAGCAAGTAAGAAATACAGGAACAAAAGAACTAACAGTAAAATCGCTCCAAAAGTAATAATCGCATAGCGATTGAGCGGTATGAAGAACGCTAGAACTGTAATAACGAGGCAGAAAGTCCGCGGCTGCCGCGCGCCGTCCATTACACAGAACCTTTCCTACTGCCCGCTCCCCAAGGTTCAGTATTACGTTGCTTCTGACTAGATCACATATGACTTTCTTCAAGGGCGGAACATTTTCCAAATGGTCTTAACTACAAAAATCAGATACCAAGGAACTGAGCAACATTGAGGTTTCAATAGATTGGAAGTAAATGGAAATTTTTGAGATCACTACCCTGTTATCGCTCTTTACCTGAGATTAGCTTTGAAATCACCGTGAATAGACTGATAAGCCCTGACCTAATCATCACACAACATACCTATTCATTGTGCTTTACCGACGTCCAGAGAATGGTCTCCTACTCACAGTATCTCACCAAAGAGAAAGAGGACGAACTCAGAAGCATCGTCAGTGCGATTACGGCTCCTGGAAAGGGGATTTTGGGTGAGCATCATACAAAATCTATTCATCACATGATCACCGAATAGCTTATGCTTACCTTTAGCAGCAGACGAATCGAAGAAAACGTTCGGAAAAAGAATCAAACATATCAACGTAGAAAATACAGAAGAACTTCGCAGGAAATACAGGCAGGTGAGGAGCAATCCCTGTAAATTAGTGAATAACAGCATATCACCTTCTCTCCTGATTCAGCTGCTAGTCACTGCGAAGCCGGATCTAGGAAAGTACATTTCTGGAGTGATCATGTATCATGAGACGTTCTATCACAAGTGCGATGATGGGACGCGTTTTGTTGATGTGCTAAGGGAACAGGGAATTTTACCCGGCGTCAAGGCGAGTTCTACTTCGTTCTCAATGAATTCTGTAACTCATAAGTTACCAGTTGGGCTATGCACGCTAATGCGCGCATCACATTAACTAATCAATCAGTTGATCTGGATACGCAGTGCTGCGATAATGTAGACAAAAGCAGCACTCGACATAGAAGCTACTTTAATGATTGGCTCACAAGACTTTACTCCGTAGAAAGGTAAAAGGAGCTCATTCTATCGCTGCTAATAGTTGGATGTGCTCACCATCTTTATGAGCACAGTCTCATGAAAAAAGGCCTAGTGACTCTTTATACCTCAAGGAGAAGCGGATTGCAAAAATAGGTGGCTG